TTGAGTTTGCTTCGTAGGTACAAAACGTTTTCATTTTAAAATTATATAACATGAATTCTATTAAATCACATGGAGTGAAACTTCACACTCAAACAAAATAAATATTTTTACATATGATAATGTGCTCATTTTAAATATCTTGAAGATAGTATAACGAAGATTGGCATAGTCCACGAACTTTCCGAACAATCCTTGTATAAAGTGTAGAAAAATCGTAAGTTTTGATATAAGAGACTTTCGAAAAATTTGGCGATTTCAAAGTTTCTGAAGGTTTTCTCGAGATTTTGAGGATCCACATCTGATTTACACCACTTCTAGAATAAGCTGTAGCACAGTACGTCTAAAGTTTCTCCTTTACAGCAGTTAATATTTTTGTAAGGAGTAAAGATAATAGTTCTTAGGATCGATGATGGGGCAATCGTGTGCAATGATACTGTTATACTATTGGGGTTGATATTAATTTTTTGATTAAATTCGATGTTCGTACTAGTAATATTAGCAAAAGAAGCTGCCAAACAACTAAATGTTTCAAAACGTATTGGTTCAGTATCAAATAGAGTAACTAAAATTACCATATTTTTATAATTTTATTCTGTCAAATTCCACTTTTTGTCATCTTGTTTGGCACTTTTGTTCAAAGAAAAACATAATTTTAGTGAAATTTATGAAGTCTCAGAAGTATATTTGAAGAATACAAATTTTCATGACAATTCTGTCTTGTGGGACTACATTTGTTGAACTACCAATCCATTAGAGTAAAACATATTGCGTACAGAGCTTTCTTGAATTTTAGAGTTCGTTTTGCAATTGATGACCTCTTCATGTTCTTTCCAATCCAGTCCTGAATTGTTACTTTTCCTTCCAGCTGGAAAAAACGCACCCACGTTTCGTCACCTGTAACGATCTGACTAAGCTTCCTATTGTCCATTTCTTTAAACGTTTTCAAAAGTGTTTGGCACTTTCCTAAATGACGTCCTCTTCTTGCAAGACATTTTACTTTTTCCTACAGTTCATAACAGATATGAATTATTTTTTACAAATGAGGAGCGGAGCCAAGACGGACCTCTAAAAGCATCAGAGGTCGGATCAGGTGCTCTTGAGGAGACCTTTGATATTCTTGTTTCATCAAATTATTTGTTAATAGCTTGCGGCAGCTACAGACAGATAAGTTGTTGTAATAGGGTTTTAAACAACCTCGTTTAAAATTCAACATTTTGATGTTATAATGTTATAATGACCTTGTTAGCTAATGTAACCTATCACTGGGTCGTACTTTTGCTGACGTGCTTCATATCTATTGTTAGGCCTTTGTTTTTATGCTGAATTTCACTAGAATGTTCCGTATTCCTGATCAGTACATAGGGCTCACGGAGAATGTTACCGGTCAGCATGGGGTGCTTACCCCTTCTAGGCACCTCTTTCCACCTTGGAATATCCAGGTATCCGTGTATTATGTCCTCTTTACAGATTAGTGTTGTTTGTAGATTTTTTTGAGATCGATTACTGTTCGTTATCTTCACCTCTTTCATTTAGAAATTGTTCGTAGAGCATTCTCATGTGTATCAAATCAACTGGGAGTCATAAACTCCATATTCATGTGATAATAGTATATTGCTACATAATTAAGAGATGTTGAAAATAGAAAAGTTAACGTCATTACATTTATCATAAAGTTTTGTTGTTAGGTTATCATTAATTCTTTTTCTAAAATATCCATTTATGAAACAGATGTATCAGATCGACTCTGTGGTACATGTATCACATCTTTCGAGTTCAAAGATATACATCGAATCAGCGTAGAAATGAAAATGAATATTGATAACTGATAAAATGTCGTCGATATATCTAAATGTTTAAGTTTTTAAATAAATTCTGCTCGATTATTTAGATGTGAAAAACACAAATTCATAGAATTATTGAAATACGTTTGCTTATACAAAAGAGATTAGGCCACTATGAACTTTTCAATCAAAGCCAGTTGTGCATTACTCCCACTATAGAATAACCAATCGATGTGCTAATTTATGAAATCAGATATTTGTTGATAAAAAATTATGAAATAATTTTAGGAAAAAAAAATGTGCTTTAAAGAATATTTCTGACTGCTTAATAATTTATGTAACTTATGTAGAATTTGGATCCAGGACAAGGAGGCTGAATTTGAGATTCTGATCGCGATCATATTTCTTTTCTAGCTAACCCAACCGTTCACGGTAGCTCAGTCGGTAGAGCGCTCGCTCCGTGATCGGGAGGTCGTGAGTTCGAATATCGGCCGCGACTGACCTAAGTCGATAAAAAATGGGTAGCAACTATTCCTTCGCCATGCGCTCGGCACTTTGAAGTGAAAGTTGCGGGTCCTTCGGATGAGACCTTAAAGACCGAGGCCCCGTGTCACGGCAGGCGTTGGCACGATAAAGATCCCTCACTAATAGATGCTATTGTGAAATAAAAAGATTACAACTAAAATGATTTCGTGTAAAAGATGAAGTTAAAGAACAGTGATCAATCTCATAAATCCAGTAGACAAAAACGAATCATGAAGAGGACGGAAACACGGATCCCTTGAAACACCTGTAGTAGGATCAGGTGCCTTGGAGGAGGTTGGGGTTATTTCGGACAATAAAATGCACTTTAGTAAGTTGTGATTAATGTTAGAAAACGGTGTTATCTTTAAAATATTGAGTGATGTCTACATAAATCTGGTTTACAAAAGTTTTCTAAATGATGAAACTGTTTATTTGTGTTATCTGATATAAGAAACATAATGTCAAAAATTACAAATTGTCCAATTTACAAACATTATATTAAAAATATAGGTAATATTTTTTTAATACTGACGTTCAATTTTTCAGAAAAAAGATCTTAGCTAGTTTTGAAAAAATGATCCTTAACATTTCTTTCAGTGCGTTTATCGGTAAAAATGTACGTAGTAGTTAAAAATATAGTATTCAGCAATGAGCATAAACATGTTTTGGTTTACAATGCTCCAAAATCTAATGCAAAGACACCAAAACAGACTGGACGAGAGTATTATATTACTAAACATTTTCTTCATTGGAAGTAAAAAATGACTCTCCAAGACGGTCGCATATTTGACTCTACAAAGAAAAAGTAAGATTTAATATAATCATTCGGACACAATTTTTTTTTAAAACAAACAAGCAAACAAACAAAAACAAGGGAACTTAACCATAAAAAAATTATTTCCTTAATTGATTTCTTTGAATAGCAGTCGCTTTAGTAAGAATTAATATCTTGTTTTCTAAATGATTAAAAACAACAAAGGAGAAAAGATTAAAAAATATGAATGATATAATTGAAGTATCTAAAAGCGTGCTTTTGTAATTTCAAAAATTCAATTTAGATGAAATCGCCATCGGTCAATGTAGCATTTTTTTAATGGAAACTTCCAAAAAAAAACATCGAAGAACAGAAGATTATCATAAAAAATAGGGAAAATCGCAATAAAGCAAATTAAAAGCAATTAAAAACAATTAATCTGTCTGTGTGCGGGCAACTTTCTTCACAAACTTCACATTTTTTTATTTAAACAGACGAAAACTAACGTAATTTTGACAACTGCAATTTATTTAAGAGAGCGAATCCTTTTAAGATATTTATTCATTTTGTAAAAGGACAATGTCATTTCTGAATTGCTAGTAAGGTTTCAATTGGAAAACATGTGATAAAATTGACCTTAACTAGAAATTAACTTCTTAAATGAACGTACTTTGACAGGAGGGAAGTTGTCATGTGGGAAGCCAATGTCCACCTCCACCGCAGAAATATTGTTTTGAATACCATGGATATGTTTAACTAAGTTGGAAGTCCCAATTTTTTAAAAGTATTTTACCCTCAATATCTTGAATTCTTGGATATCTCTATTTTTTCCTGGTCCCTTCAAGTTCCAGATAACAAGGTTTGACTGTATACAATTTTGTTTATTTGTTATACCAGTTATTATTATGAAGTAAACTATATTTGAGTAAATATTATATATAACTTGTTGTTGCATTTAGAGTACAGAGAGGGCTTTTACTGCCTCAAGTCCAACCATCCTTATTATCACCAGATACAAGGCCAACTACATTTCTGCAATAAGACCTGCTGACCTTATTGTTTGGACTACCAAAGACCGCAAGGTAATCCGGATCATCAAGGACTCTGAATGGACAATAAACATTGCACAATTAATAGAATTTTATTTTATTTTAATATTTTCATTCCTGAATTAATTCAAAATTAACATGTTGAAATAACATCCGTAATAACGAAAAGGAATCAGAAGTGTAGAACCCTCTTGATACAGCACACCAAAATGTTCTGAATTTGTAATATTTTCATACAGATACAGTAATCTGCTCCAGATCTAAAATTAAATTAATGAGAATATGCAGTGTATTATTTAATTTGTAATCAATTCAAACATTCCTATAACTTTAATAAACAAAAAAAAAATTAATTGACCACTTTATTAGGATGTATATTTCCCACACATGTTAACAACGATTTCTGTTCATCAATACTTTGTCTTTAAACAATTTCCTGGGGGTAAATGCGTGGTACCATGTGTTGAAATTGGGCTAGATAAGCTCAATAATTACACCTTTCTACAATATAATTTTCTCAATGTATTAATAAAGTTTTGTTCTAGTGTAAAGATTGTCCTTAAATTATTTATTATTTGCACAAAGACTATACTGTAAATGTATTACTTTTGGTATGTCTTCCATTTAAGGCCTTTGGCATTATGTAGGTACTGCTAAATTAAGTACATAGCTAAATGTCTTACAGATGTCCATGAATATAGACGTTTAGAAATGCATTTAATCAGATCTACACTAAACATGTTGAAAAAATTATCTGCCATTTTTTTTACATGCTTAATATAATAATTTTACAGTATGTTAAAAGTCTCATTACAGGATTTGCAAAAATCAATATGCTAGACTACATGTATGACTATGTACATCATTCTACATCCTAAAATGTTGCATTAACAATATTGAAGTTGAATCAAAATTATATTAATAATACATTATAAATATACAGTGCATCATGAAATTCCTTTCAAAAGAGGAGCTTGCAAATTGACCAATGCAGAACAAAGTTGAAATATCTTTGTCGATAATGGCCTTTAGGCTGCTGGTATGTGGCGAAGTATTTCAAAGTTTTTTTTTTATTCTCTCATTAGCTCTCTCCACGTGAATTCTTGCTCTGTGCTCTGGCTATTTTATAATACAGTTCTACTTCCTTCCTCGTAAACTGCCTTCTTGAAGATAAAAATGCTGGAATGTTTAAGCACACACCTTGTGGTAGCTGATCATGGATTGTAAACCCCTTGTCAGCTAAAATCAGGTCTCCAGGCTTAAATTTCTCAAGAATTTTGCTGTGACGCACAGTTGCAACATCAGATGTTGATCCTGGATAAAAAGGAGAACAATAAGTAATTGCACCATTTGGTACTACACAAGTCACTACTTTGATGGTGTGACGGCTCTTATATGAACTGTATGCCATAGCTTGTGTATCAAGGTGTCCAGGGATATCTTGAGTTGTCTCAATGGTATCCATAGAAGGCCTTGTAGAAGAAAATTCTGCAAATGCCTAAGGCATGGAGCCTAAATGAAAAAATGCAAGAAAAAAAATCAATTTCATGCAATAATATACAGCTCAGTTGACTACTATCATTCTCTTAATCTATTAGTTGAGTTGTTGTTATTCTAAAATATAGCAATATTTTTTTAATATATTTAAGTTACAGCTGTCTGCTAAATTCATTGAACGGTATTATCCTCTATATGAAATAATGTTTGCACAAGTAAATTGAGATAGAGGATAGGGGAGAGATAAATTGAGTGCAGTATATACATCAAACATTTGCATACTATAACTCAACATACAAACCTTTACATTTTAGTTGATTTGGAAAACATGTGTCAACAACCCGCTTGTACAACATTTCATGGAGGGCATGAACTAGTGAGTGGAAAATGTTGGAAATGGTTGGTCTGCTTACACAAAACCTGTTAATTGATGCAAATGAAAATGTATCATGTTATCTAAATATATGTCCCCCCTTCTATATATATATATATATATATATATATATATATATATATATATATATATATATATATATATATATATATATATATATATATATATATATATATATATATATATATATATATATATATTTCAAGTATATTACTAAAACAACTAATGAATGACATTAGATTAGTTGCATGATCAGAAAACTATTTATTTTATTTATTCAAAGTAAAGAGTAAATACCTGTATATACCTGTGAGCCAAGTCAGTGTCTCTAAGGTTTAGCTTTAGCTTCATGAAAACAATCAGAAGTTGATCTTCAAGTTTAAGGGATGGTGTCCAACAAAGGAAGTAATTTAATTTTAAGCGACCAAGTAGTTGCACAAGCACTTCAAAGGCATCATATTGTATTGAAGTATACAGCAGCATCTGTAAAGAAAAGAATTGTCATAAATTTCACAGAAAAAGGACCCTAAAAAATATTTTATTATAATTCATTTTACCTCATCAATAATGTTACCTTTTCTTCACTGTCCTTAATTTCAGCTACAGTCATAGACTTCCTTTATCACTGTTGACCTTCATAGCAGGTACATCTTTTTTCCAATTTTTTAAATCTCTGAAGAGAGCCGTTGCATTTCTTTGGAACAGTTTCGAGAGCAAGATACTGTATAATTGTGTTCTATATTAACCTTAAAATATATACATGTGTAAACATTTATAATCTCAATTCTTCACAAGTATTTTAATTATGTATTTAAGTTTTTAAAAAATCACTTCAAAACAAATTATTGATAGAATTACATGTTCTACGTCATCACAATCAACAGCATCTTGTGTCTGCTCTCTCTCACAGGATAAGGGCTGACTTGTTTTATCAACTTCTCAGGATGGAGACCAACATGTTTCCTCCTTTTCATGTAAATAAGAAATATCATAAATGCATTATATTATTATTGCCCAAAATGTTTATGTTGTAATTTAAACTACAAGTAAAACAATATTTATAAATATTTAATATTTACATACAATTCCCTCTCATCTTTCTGACTTTTCCGGGTCTGGATAGTCAATGTACTTTTTATCATTCCAAGGAAAGTAGACAGAGTCTTCTTCCTTTCTTCCCTCCTTGAAATGACATGAACATATTCTGTTGTTTTGATTCTCTGGCTGTCGATCAGCTCTTCTATATAAAAATAAAGGATTGTTTGTATAATTTTAAAGTAGCAACATTTACATATCAGTGTTGATCATGCTGATTGACATCATTTACAAATACACATCAGTATTATCATGATGTGCTTCAGTATTTTAACAATTATTGATATTAATCGTGATCATGGTAATGGTAAACAGGTACTTGCCCTGTAGTTTACAACACATATATTATTTTTACATTGACTCTGCTCAACATAACACTGAAGCAGTATTACACAGTACCAATTAACCATATATATATTTCTCATATAATTTTATGATGCATGTAAACGGGACGTGTATATTCATGCTGGTATAGCTTATAGTGCTTTAATATACATATATATGTAGATAAATACAGATATAGGCTATACTTTAATGTGAAAGGATTAAAAATCATTAACCTATCATTAAGTATCACTATTCAACTCTAGGAATCGTCTCTTTATTTATTGAGCTTGGCAACAGTGGCGCATACACGCATGCAGTGTCTTGATCTCTTGTAACACATGCTGTATTTCATTTAATACATGCTTATTACATTTAAAAAATGCAATAAAACTGACCTGCACATTTTTCCTCATAATGTTTTTTTTTCTTTGCGTCCGTGGGAAAACGATAGAAACTACACGTATTTACATCACTTCGGTGACTGCAAAGCATATCACCATGTTGTTTGTCACCGGAAGTATTCAAATCTCGCGCCATCTCGTTTGCGTGCTTACAGCCCCTATATATATATATATATATATATTGTTACGTTCCGATAAGTTTACCTGTGAAATTCGGATTAACCGTTGTTGACAAGTTCCGAATAAACGGACCCTGAACCCGATGTGTATAAACTACTAAAATATTTGTCAATGAACAGTGAACGAAAGAATTGAACAATGATTTATTATTTGAACTTTATCAATTTGATTTATGTATTGTAATTACAAAGCGTTATATTGTATATGTTCTATATAGGTACAACGTTATTAAGTAATTTTAGTGGTCAAAACCCGCTAACTTACAAATTAGATATTGATTGTGACGTTATTGGTATCTGACGTTTATACGTCATCATAACAACTTTTGTCTATAAAAGACAGCTGTTTTGTGTTTAGAAGTCAGTCTGCATTGGGTTGCGACTCCGTATACTTCGGGTGTAAGACAGTGGTATGTACAAACAGTACCAAGTCTATGTATACGAAATCATTAGTGAAGAGTCATTCAGAGTAGAAACGTCCTGGATTGACCATTGGTTCGTCATCTTTGTATTAACAAAATAACGTTGTACCAACCAAGTTTATCATTGTGCTTATAATTGAACCATTTGATCGTCTTAATAAATATCATAAACTTTACAACGTGTTATTCGTCACGGTTCTAGTGCAGATATTATAGTGAACTAAAAATTGGTCATTTCGCCAATTATTCAGTGGACCAAAAATTGGTCATTATTCCGATTGTATATAAACTTTGTGGATAACCATTTCAACCTTGACCAGTTACCAGAAACCAAAAGCGGCCCACGATTAACTGATTAAGTAATAACCTTATACCCTCGGTTTCGTTACATTGGTGGCAGCGGTGGGATACGCTGTTCAAGAAAATTGTGACACTTAAAAAAATATAAAGATGTCGAGGAACGACGAAGTTATGGAGGAAAATGACCATATTTCAGGACCACAAGAACATCAATTTATCGAAGGTACTCCCAGCAGAGAAGTGCTTTTGCGGGTTAATAACAACGATCAAATAGGAGATGGTAGCGGAGTAAATTCATGTACACAAGACAGTTTACAAACAATTCTAAATGAATTAAAAACTTTGAAGTCGCAAATGAATTTATTACAAAATCAAGTGAGACCAACATGTGCTGACAGCCAACATGTAGACCAAAACAATGTGCGATTTTGTACCAATACCACGTCTGAAGAGGACCAAATACGGAACGAACATCGACCACATAGATATACATCTCTACAAAATTCATATGACGAATCTCGTGATTATGAAGATTCAGGAACAAATTGGTCAAACCCGATGGTATCACGCAGCTTTACTAACAACGCTAGAACCAACGAATTTCAGCCAACCATGCGCAGCTTTGAGTACGATGTACCAAATTATGGTCACACAAGACAAGTCAATGACCACAGATTCAGGCGAACACCAGAACCAAAAGGGAGAAAACCAGCAACATTTGATGGTGCCATGAACTGGAACGACTACATAGTTCATTTTGACATGATCGCCCAATTAAACTACTGGGATGAGGAAACAAAGGCATTAGAGTTGGCTACCAGTCTACGCGGCCCGGCATTAAGCGTGTTGAGTGATCTACGACCAGAATATCGATATAATTTTCGTCACCTTGTCTCCGCACTTTCAGCGAGATTTAACCCAGAAAATCAAACAGAGATATACAAGACACAACTAAAGTGCCGTATACGAAAGAAAAACGAAACTATCACAGAATTAATGCAAGACATAAAGCGACTTGTGAGGATGTCATACCCGAACGCACCTTTAGGTTTCCGTGACCAAATAGCTAAAGATTCGTTCATCGAAAGTTTAAATGACCAAGAAATGGAATGGGCAGTGTTTCAAGGAAGACCTAAAAACCTAGAAGATGCAGTGCGACTGGCATTGGAATTTGAGGCCTTTCAACAAGCACGGGGGAGGCGAAATAAAGTTGCAGTACGTATGCAGAGAGAGGAACCAATTAACATAGATGGAAACGAGGATTATACACATCAAGTAGCTATGATCAGCCAAAACAAAGATAAGAAATTTTACAAGAAAGGTCCCTGTTTCTACTGTAAGAAAGATGGTCACATCAAAAGTGAATGCAGATTACTACAACGACATCTCAAAGATGAAAAAGACAGAAATCAAAGAAAACCAGATTACACGAAAAACGTGAAAACCAGAGAACCTGAGAACCAGGAAAACGCACAGTAGTTGACGTCGGCGGCCTAACGTCAACTACACAACAGAAAGGGCCACATGTTTTTGAAATAAAGGGTTCCAATAATAACTCATTAACAATGGATGTGTTTGTTAACAATGTTAAAATTAACTGTATTATTGACACTGGTTCAGCTATCACAGTTATTCACCCAAAGAAATACTACGAAATAGATAGAAGTGTAAGACCTAAATTAACGCCAAACCATAACAACTTACGAATGGCAAATGGTGAACTAGTGGTACCAGAAGGTCAGACTATACTTCAAATTCGTATCAATGGAGAAATTATACAACATAGAGTGGTCGTCGCTGACGTTGAAGCACAGATGATCTTGGGTTTTGATTTTCTTAAAGAGCATAACTGTCAGTTACATTTGGGTGAAGGAACTCTTACCTTGGGAAACAAGAAATTATCATGTAACCTTAACATTGAACAAAGTCATGTGTTCCAAATTTCCGTACAAGGAGCTTTACTACATAATAGTGATGGACTAAATCATCGACTATGTGAACCTTGTGATAAGAAGGAGACAAACGACCAGACCAAAGAGGATGACGATAATCTTGTATTAAAGTTAAAAGAAGACCAAACCGACACTCGAAATTGGTACATGACAAAGACAAAAGAAGACCTACAAAAGGAGCAGAATGCAGATCCAATATTAGCGAAAATAATAAAGTGGAAGACAGAGGACAACAGAACAAATTGGCAGATAATAGCAAACGAACCAAAAGAGCTAAAGACATATTGGTCACAATGGAATCGACTGACATTAAGGAATGGAGTACTCTTCAGGACATGGGAAGAAAATGAGCAAACGTTTTACCAGATGGTGGTACCAAAAGCACGTGTAAAAGAAATACTTAAGTTGTTACATCACAATCCTACGGGTGGACATTTGGGAATCTCCAAAACTACCGAGAAAATAAGAGAAAGGTTCTACTGGGCATCTTACAAAAACGATGTTGAGAAGCATATCAGAGGTTGTACCTTTTGTGAAGCAAGGAAGAATACAGCAAGTGCAGCCAGAGGAAAACTGGGTCAGTATTTAGTTAGGAAACCACTGGAACGAGTGGCCATTGACATCCTTGGTCCTTTACCACGGACTGAGAAGGGTAACAAGTATGTTGTTATCATTTCGGATTATTTCACCCGATGGATAGAAGCTTATCCGGTCAAAAACCAAGAGGCAATAACCATTGCAAAGGTTTTTGTAGATGAATTTATTTCAAGGTATGGAGTCCCACTCCAGGTTCATACTGACCAAGGCAGACAGTTTGAGTCGACATTGTTTCAAGACTTGTGCAAGATGTTACAAATAGAGAAAACAAGAACAACCCCATTCAATCCAAAGAGTGATGGCCTAGTAGAGAGATTCAACCGAACGCTAGAAGATATGATAAGCAAGTATATACAACCTAACCAAAAGAATTGGGACGAAGTTTTGCCATTTCTGATGCTTGCCTACCGATCATCAGTTCAAGAGACCACAGGATACAGTCCAGCAAGATTAAACTCTGGAACAGAGATAAAAGTACCTATTGACCTTGTTTGTGGTCACAATCTATGGGAAACTTGTCCTGAAATCTGCCATAAGTTCGTCGACAAGATGAAAACCAACTTAGAGGACATCCATGAGAAAGCCAGCAGAAAAATGATACTCGCGAACGAGAACCAGAAACGAAAATATGACACCAAGGCAAACCAGATTCAGTACACCCCAGGACAACATGTGTGGATTGCATCAAAATCAAGGACCAAAGGAAGATGTCCCAAACTTCAGGTTCATTGGAATGGACCCTATGTAGTGTTACGTGCTGTGTCCGATTTGATATACAAAGTGAAAAAGTCTAAAGCCGAGAAACCAAAATATGTGCATCATGACCAGATGAAGCTGTTCCGTTGTGAAGCAGATGAGAATCTATCTCTGTAACGTGCATCTCTAAAAGATATAAAAAAAAATTCTTGATTGACTAAGCACCCCGAAACGAGGACGTTTCGACTTAAGAGGGGGGTATTGTTACGTTCCGATAAGTTTACCTGTGAAATTCGGATTAACCGTTGTTGACAAGTTCCGAATAAACGGACCCTGAACCCGATGTGTATAAACTACTAAAATATTTGTCAATGAACAGTGAACGAAAGAATTGAACAATGATTTATTATTTGAACTTTATCAATTTGATTTATGTATTGTAATTACAAAGCGTTATATTGTATA